CAGAGGTAGAATTGGAATCCAAGACCTGTGATTCCAGAATTAGGACTCTTTTGGCTCCAAAGGGCCAAATGAACAACCAGCTTTACTAGCCATCCTGGGTACCGCAGAGCCTAAGATGACTTGTGCTTTAAATGCTGCAGCCATTGTTGTTATTCAGTCATGTCCAACTCTTTACAACCCCATTTGGGGTTTTCTTGGCAAAGATACTGGAATGGTTTGCCATTTCTTTCTCCAGCCCATTTTACAAATGAGGAAACTGAGACAAACTGGGTTAAACAGAGGCTTGCCCGGGGTCATAAAACTAGTAAGTGTCTAAAGCTGGATTTGAACTCACAAAGATAAGTGGTCCTGACTCCAGGTCTACTTCTCTATCCATTGCACCACCTACCTGCCTTAAATAAATGCAAGATGGATAAAACATTTTATTCATCATTTGTGATCCATTTACAAAATTAGGAAAGAAGGTGAAGGAGGATCTGGGAAACTATACAATACTCAAGAAAAGGCACTAGCCCTCAAAAGTCAGAAAAAGTAGTATAAGACAAATAAAAGAGATTATTGATTTGGACCTGGAAGGGACCTTAGAGGACATCAGAGCCAACTCCCTTATTTTATAGAAGAGGAAACTGAGCTCAGATTCATCCAGCTAGTAACTATCCAAGTTGGAATTTGAACCCAGGTCTTCCTGGCCCCAAGTACAGTGTTAGATTCATTATACTGTACTGCCTTTAAATGATTTTCATAGAACAGAAAGGCAAAATAAGATAGAATATTGTCATTGAGTATTATAAACATTTTTTTTAAAGGAAAGCATATGGTGTCCAAGCAACGAATGATGCTTAATGGAAGTGTAACTTGAGTTAAGACGGATTTAGATAAAATTTAAGGGTGATTGATCTATGACAAGTTATGGAGAAAAACCATGATATCAGAGTGGGGATCTATGACTTAAGAGTCTGTTAAGCAGCAAACTCATTCACTTCCAAAGAAACCCTCAGGACCATCACTGGTCATTTTGGTGCTGGTCCTCAAAGATCTGAAGCACCGCCTCGTTGGAAAATAAGGTAGGCTGGTCCAGGGTAATGAGAGAAATGATTATTAACAGCCAACATCTTGGGGAGATCTAGAGATCTCCCATTCTTCCATAGTCCTAATTTTAAAAGTTCAGTTTCTTGAGCGACATTACTGATAATGAGATCGGGCTAACTTTGTTTTTCAAGACCTTATCCAGGTAGAAGCAATTTAGTGGGCTTGGGTGAGCTATCTTTGAAGAGATAGACCAAAGCTATGGGTGGCTTGATGTAGAAATAGTTTCTTTGTCCAAGGGTGACATAATGTCACTCTCAGCCCTTCATGTTGATATAGCTCACATTCCATTTCGTTGCCTGATCAGAGTTGATCCCCACCCTCAGGAACCACCTACTCTTTGAAGACATATGAACTGTGAGCCCGACACCATGAATATCTTTTGTCTAAGAGAGATGGCCAAAATGACCATCCTTTTATTAACAACATGCTTGCCTTATTAATGAAAAGATTAAATATCCAGAAACTATGTCTCTTAAACCGTTTTTTAATCATCACGGTAAGCACCACATTTTGGGAAGGACATAAAAAAAACAAGCCTCAGGTTAGCAAAAGGCCTTGAGGTCCTGCCAGAAGCTTGATGCAAGAAACTGGGACTGCTTAGCCTGGAGAACAGAAGGCTTGGGGTGGGCATGATTGCTTCTAGTCTTTGAAGGCCAGTCATGTTGAAAAGTCACCAGGCTGGTTTTACATGGCCCCACAGGACCATCAGTGATGGGTGGAATTTGCAAAGAAGTTCATGTAGGCTCAATGTCCAGTGAGAACTAAAGTGGAATGGAAACTCACTGGATGTCCTCCAACGAAGGCCAGATGATCAACAGCCGCTGAGGATTTTGTATAAAGGATTCTTATGCTGCTCCAGGTTGTCTTAGAACACCTCTGAGGTCCCTTGTGAGTCTGAGATTCTGGGATACTTTTGTGTTGGAGAAAAAAATATGTTTTAAAATCAATGCTTTATGTTCTGTGTGAGAATGTCATGTGTCTTTTCATTTATTCTTTGTAAAATGTCCGGTTGGGAGAAAACAACAACATTCACCTTTTCAGGTTTATTTAACATGACTCCCATTCACATATTAGCATTCCAGCTAAATTGACCTATTTGTTATTTCTCTACTGTAAGCCTTCCATCACTCACCTCCAAGTTTTTGCACAGCCTGCCTCACTCCTCCCCTGTGCCTAGAATGAACTTTCTCTTTACCTCCATCTCTTAGAACACTGAGCTGAGGTCAAAGTTCCAAAGGGAGGGAGGTGAGGATGAGCATGGTGGTTGTGAAATTTTGAGGAGTATTCAGGAAGTCTCTTGGAGGCCTAAACCCTGCAAGACAAGGCAAGTCTCACCTGTCAGAGCTTGGGGATCCAGAGGGGAAAGGGAGGGGCAAATTTCCAGTGAGAGAGATGAGACTGAGAATGATGATCTGAGAGCAGCCCAGGAAGCTCAGTCTATTGGGTCTTTTATTATTTATAAGATGATATATGAAGTCTTTCATATATCATCTTATCCAATCCTTTCATCTTATATATGAAGAAACCGAGACCCAGAGACATGAAATGTCTTGGCCATAAGTAGCTGAACCAGGATTCAAATTCTGGTCCTTTGATTCCAAATCCAAGTCTCTCCATTATACCATACTCTCTTCTGTGTGTTACTTCCTCTTATATTTTAATTATTACTAAAGAATTAGAATCTGAAAGCCCACTAATGGCAGATCATGGTCCTATAGCTGATTGATAATAACAACAGTAATATCACATTTCTATTGCATTTGAAGGAGAACCAATCATAAACTAACCACACTCTCAGCAATTTTTACATCAACAAATTTTCAAATCTTTTCCTCGTATTTTATCTAGGTCCTGAGAAAGGCAACTTCTAACAAAGCTCCAACTTAACCTCATGGAATGTTAGAGCTGGAAGGGCCCCTCCCAAGAAACAATCTGATCCAAGGATCTCCGATCTGGAAGGGACCTCCAAGGGCATCTGAACTGAGCTCTCCACTTTGCATCTGAAGCTAGAAGTTTTAAGAAACTTGTCCAATATCACTGAGGAAATTGACTGGCAGTGCACAAGGCACTGGACCTAGAGTTAAGAAGAGACCTGAGTTCAGATTTAACCTCAAACATGTACTAGCTCTGTAACTTTGGACACATAGCTCAATCTGTTTGCTTCAGTTTCCTTAACCATAAAATGGGGACAATAATAGCACCTACCTCCCAGGATTGCTATGAGCGTTAAGTGAAATATTTGCAAAGCGCTTAGCAAAGTATCTGGCATATAGTCGGTGCTAGAAAAATGCATATTATTATTAACTAGTATTCAAACTCAGATTCTGTGGTTCCAAAACTATTGGGTCACAATGCTTCTTACCAAATCCCACCCTGCCCTGATTTTACAGATGAAGAGCCTGAGGCCTAGATAGAGTCAGTCCCCTATTCATCCTTTGGGTTTTATTATGTTCTTTCTCCTCCCCACCCACCTTTTTCTCCTCTTTTTTTGTGAGGAAGGGAAGTCTGTAAAAGACAGAGAATGCTTTGCTGTGTCAGACGGCTCTATGGGAAATCGAGCCTCAAAGAGGGAGGTAAAAAGTTGTGGTCTGCTGCGTATACAGGGTAGAAAATGAAGCAGATATTCACTTAGCAGGGGCATATTCCCCAAAGATGAAGAGATCAACTAGATAATAAAGCTGAAAGTTGGGACATGTTGGCTTCTCTTGCCCTTCTCAGTGTGGCATTTGGAGGAATTATCGCTTCAAAGCTTCTCTGACAGAATTTTGCTACATTAATTCAGTTTTTAAATTTTCTTCTTGGGAAAAAAAGAAACACTATAAAATAAACACAGGCAAGAGAAAAGGAAGCTGCCAGCTAGATGGATAAAGTTCAAAAGACACCATCTCAATCATTCCAGGGAAACATTAATTGTCTACTATGTGCTTGGCCTTCGGGATATAAAGACCAAAAAAAAAAAAGAAAGAACCCCCGCCCTTAAGAAGCTTACATTCTACTCAAGCATAAAACATGTACACATTCTTCCAGATAACTAAATATGATGGATAGATAGATAGATAGATAGATAGATAGATAGATAGATAGATAGATAGATAGATGGAGGGATGAATGGATGGATAGATGGACAGGTAGATAGGAGATTATTAGATAGATAGATAGATAGATAGATAGATAGATAGATAGATGGAGGGATGAATGGATGGATAGATGGACAGGTAGATAGGAGATTATTAGATAGATAGATAGATAGATAGATAGATAGATAGATAGATAGATACAGATAGGAGATGATTAGATAGATAGATAGATAGATAGATAGATAGATAGATAGATAGATAGATAGATAGATAGATAGATAGATAGATAGATAGATACAGATAGGAGATGATTAGATAGATAGATAGATAGATAGATAGATAGATAGATAGATAGATAGATAGATAGATAGATAGATGGAGGGATGAATGGACGGATAGATGGACAGGTAGATAGGAGATTATTAGATAGATAGATAGATAGATAGATAGATAGATAGATAGATAGATGATAGCAGATAGATGAATAGAGTTAAATGATACATACATACATACATAGATGTAGATATAGATATTTAGATACACAGAAAGACATACATAGATAATATATAGAGAGATGTAAATGGATACTGGTATAGATACAGATCCGTATCTGTATACAAGTACAGAGAAGGGTAAGGTAGAGAAAGAGACAAAATAAAGAGAGAGAGAGAGATGGAATGAGAGAGAACAGAGAGAGGGATGAAGTAAGAGAAAAACATATTGAGAGAGAGATGGAGTGAGGGAGAAAGAGGAGAAACAGAGAGGGAGGGGAGAGGAGAGAGAAAACCATCTGTCATTGACAGGCACTCATTATTTGCCAGGCACCACACTAGATACTTGAGGAAATAATAATAGCTACCATTTATTAGCAATAGAAAATTTGCAATGCACTTTACAATGTGAACATGGAAATAACTGGAATTTTTTTGTTACTATCTTGTTAATTTTTTAAAAGCATAAATAGCGGAGTTCATGTTTTCAAATATACTTTTTTGTGAATTTGAACATTTGTTTTTGTTAATAATGTTTCAAATAATTTTTCAAAGAAAGCCCTACCTCTCACACTCGGTTGTTTGATCCTTGGGCTCAGGGACCACACTGTATAGTTGTTATGTATAGCCTCTTTTGAGTATAAAAATAGAACAAGACACATAGTAGGTATCCAATTATTACTCAAGCTGTTTAGCATTTCATGATTTGCAAATTCATTATCACATTTAAGCTTCACAAACACTGCAAGATAGGTACCATAGGTATTATTACCTCCCCTCATCCTATTTTATGGTTGTGGAAACTGAGGCACGGAGGTGTTTTTTTTTTCAATGATCACACAGCTAATGAGTTTTTGAGATGTCTGCAATGAATATTTTTGGGCTCCAAGTTCAATATTCTCAGCATCTACCCTGCTGTTTCTCAAATTATGTTCCATTTGTGAGCATTTGCTGTGTCCTGAACCCTGCAATGAGAAAGATGAAAGATTCTGAGGGCAGGCACTGTGTGTTCTTTCTTGCACTTTAGAGAGACATACATCCTGAAATGAGAAAAATTAAAATAAATTCAGGGCAATGTATTAGCATGTATACAACATTAGTCTTGATATTTCAAGGCAGACTTTTGCATCTTTATTTTAGGATTTTATTTTGCTTGGGGTGTTTTTGTCTATTTGGTGTTTTTATTTTTGTTTAATGGGTCCTATGATTTAATTAGTATGAGAACAAACAGTGAAAAAAACATTTCTATGAATTCTGATCAACTTCGCTGTCATTTTCATCCTTCAGAGAGCTGACTGAGGCACTGAGTAGTTAAGTTACTTGCCCAGGGTCACACAATGGGTGTGTCAGACATATTACTTGAACTTGAGGTCTCCCTGACACTTTCTTGGCTACATCCTACTGACTCATTTATTATTGAAAGTTTGGAGAGATAATACAATGTGGCTTTGGACATAGGTAATTCACGAGCACCCTGGAGGGATAGTGGGATTAAATAACTGACAATATTTATATATACATACATCTATATGTGCCCCAATTCACCAAACATTTATTAAATCCCTCCTATATGCACAACCTTGTGCTAGGCACAAGGCTAAAGCTTAAAATGAGTCAATACTATCATGAACAGCTATATGGCATAGTATATAAGAACATTGGATTAGAAGTGAGGAAAATCTGAGTTCAAATAAAGTCTCAGTCACTTACTAGTTATGTGATCCTTAAGGCAAAAGCTTAGCTTCTCCTAGCCTTAGTTTCCTCATCTGAAAAATGGGCTTACTAAAGCATCTACCTCCAGCATTGTTGTGAGGACTAAATAACATATCCAAAGTGCTTTGCAAACCTTAAAGTTCTATATAATTGCTAATTAATATTATTCAGCTTCCAAAAAAAACCTAATTCAGTCTCAGGCTTCATTGAGAGGAAGAGCTTTGAGGAATAAAGAGATGAAAATCCATCTGACCTGTTCCTTAGTCAGCCCACATCTGACTTAACTGTTTTCATTTCTGGATGCCCTAGTTTAGGAAGGACATTGATTAGATGAAGAACAAAAGAGGCCCCAAGATGTTAAAGCAACCTGAGATCATACCATGTAATGTTTGGTTGAAGGAATTAAAGATGCCAAGGCTGGACAGGAGGAAACTCAGAAGAGATATGATCACAAATTTCAAGCACTTCAAAAGTCATCATGTGAAAGAGGGATTAGACTTTCAACTTTGGAATGCATTATTGGGGTGTCTTTTTTTTTGTTTGCATATTCCACAGCCTAATCCTATATGTCAGGTTAACCTGCATTTTCAAGGCAGGCATCTCAACTGAGGCAAAGGGGGAGGACAGATACACAAAATAAACTATATTTTTTAAAGAATGAGTTTTAGGTATGGAAGATAATATGTGAAAATATGCAAAGACAGAAGGAAATTCAGAAGAAAGTGAGACACTGATATTTAGATGTGATGATTTGCTAAAGGTCTCTCACCTAGGCAATGATGTTACTTGTACTGGTCAAGTACTTATTTCCTTCCTTCCCATATTCTACATCACCTGTCCTTTTGTAAATTACTTGTTGTCTTTACTGTAAGTTTGCTTCTGTGTATATGTGTGTATGGATGGATGGGTGTGTGTGTGTGTGTGTGCGTGTGTGTGTGTGTGTGTGTGTGTGTGTGTGTGTGTTGGGAGTGGGTGGGAGTAATCAAATCAACAATAATTTATTAAGCACCTAATATGTTCCAGGCGCTGTAGGAAGACAAAGAAAGGCAAAAACAATTTCTGCCCTCAAGGAGCTTATAATCTAGTGGGGGAAACAACATGCAAACCACTATATACATACAAGATACAAGACAGAGTAAATTCAAGGTACTTTTAGAAGGAAAAGAGTAGTATTAAGGGGGATCACAAAAGACTTCTTGCAAAAGGTAGAACTTTATCTAAAATTTAAAGCAAGCTTTTTATAAAAGTTCTGACTTTTATTTCTTTTGTGTCCCATCCACCCACCCCACCCACTCACCCCCTAACACCTAGCAAAGGGCTGGGAATATTATAGACCCTGAATAAATTGTTAGTAAATTTATTTTCTAGGTAGCTCAGTGCACAGGGAGTCAGGAAGACACGGATTCAAATCCAGCCTCAGAAACTTACTAGCTATTGTGACCTTGTCCAAGTCACTTAATCCTGTTTGCCTCAGTTTCCTCAACTGTAAAAATGAGCTGGATAGGAAATGGCAAAACATTCCAGTATCTCTGCCAAGAAAACTTTAAATGGGTTCACAAAGAGTTGGACGTGAATGAAACGACGCAACAAGAACAAATTTATTTGATTAAAGACGGGTCTTACAATTTCAAATCCAGTGTTGTTGTTTTTTCCATAACACCGTGAAAACCCGAAGAAAAAGAAATCATCTTTGGGGGTGATAGCATTGCATAGTTGCAGCAACAAGAGATCTCAGAGATTGGTTAGTCGTAGATTTTACAAATGAAGAAACTAAGGCACAGAAACGTCACATGATTTGCCCACAGTCATGCCACTACTTTGGAGCAGAGCTGAGAGTCCAACACAGGACCTCGGACTCATTTTTTTTTCTCCCCCTCCAACCTGTTTTCCCTTCAGTTCCCAAATTCCAGCCACGTCCCACAAAGTCACCCTTCGTCATTACCAGTTGATTCCTCAGCAATGTTCCCTTTGCAGCTCCACGATCTGTTTTGGTTATTTCTGAAGATAAGGGTTCAGTGGTTCTTTTCCATGCTATCAAAGCATCATTTGATCTATGAAGGACCTTAGACATCATCACGGGGCGGCTAGGTGGCGTCATAGTACATAGGGCACCAGGCCTAGAGTCAGAAGACCTGAGTTTAAATCTGGCCTCAGACACTTACTAGCTGTGTGACCCTGGGCAAGTCATTGGAAGAAAAAAAAATCTCTATTTGCCTCAGTTTCCTCAACTGTAAAAAAGGGATAATAATCCCTACCTCCCAAGGTTGTTGTGAGGATCAAATGAGATAATATTTGTAAAGTATTTGGTACAGAGTAGGTATTTCATAAATACTTATTTCCTTCCTTCCCATATTCTACAGCTGAAGAAACCGAGGCCCAGAAAAGTTACAGGACTTGCCACATCAACTGTCTGAGGAGAGGATTGGGTCTAGCTCTTGCTGGCCTGCAATCAGTCTCCCTCCCACACCATGCTGCCTCTAACAACAACCCTCTCATTTTGCAGATGAGCAAAGTGGGACTCTAAAAGGTTAAGTAAAGGAAAATCGACAAATGAGAAAAGGAAATAAGAAAATTTCTCTCCCTACAGTGTCCTTGCTTGTGATGTATATAGTCCACAATTCTAACCTAAAAAATAATTTTACATATATATATATATATATATACACATATATATACACATACACATACATATATATATATATATATACACATATATATACACATACACATACACATACATATACATATACATATACATATACATATACATATACATATACATATACATATACATATACATATACATATACATATACATATACATATACATATACATATACATATACATATACATATACATATACATATACATATACATATACATATACATATACATATATTTGTGTCTAATGGTAGGCATCTCTAGAGAGAGGGAGAAAAAAGAAATAAAGAAATTTATACAACTTTATCAGATATTTAAAAGGAATAGTAAGTTGTTTTTGCAGTTTCAAGTGCAATCATATTTTTATTACACTTTGTTATGGAAATGCTTGTTTTATTCCATACATTGAAAATAAAATAAATAAACATGAGAAAAAAAAGTAAGCCCCAGTAAGGACACCAAGGATCCCAGGTCTTAATACTTGGCTTTCTTATGCCATACAAGACGTCCCAAAAGCCTTAGTGCAGTGTTAAGCTTTAATACTTCAGACAGTATTAATAATTTAAAACTGGGCTAAGACTTTGGGACACCCTGTATAGAAGGAAGAGGTTAGAATGGAAAGCAGAGATGACATTATCGATACATTGATATCTTTCAGAAGAGGCTTTCTATAGTGCCGGAGCATCCTTGTATCTGGAACTCTTTCTTCCCATGTGTGGTTCTGAGCCCCCAGCAGTTGGGCCTGGATACTAATGTAAAGGAAGAAGACCATTCAATTGTCCCCAAATCAGGAGCCAGAGCCTGGACTGCTTCCCTCCTCATTGCCTCTCCATTTCTCACCTCCCTCCCCTCTCCTGGCTGCCCAACATTGGTGGTTCAGATGCCTCACAATGGAGTGCTTCCTCTTGGTTGGTTAATTATACAGGACTCTAGTTTTTAAGGCTTCCCAGTTTGACAGTTTGTGTTTGGATGAAATCCTCAAGCTGTATACAAATAATTCACATTAAAATATAACTGCCATCGATTTACTGCTCAACTGCTAAATACAGCCTGGGTGGGTGCCAGGAGTAGTTATTTCTGACTATGGCAAGTTAATCATTTGATGAGAGTAAACTGTTTTAATTTGTATTAAACCATGATTACCTTGTTTGGCTTTCTCCGACAGAGGATGATTTGTGTAATTGGTGGTGCATACTGTATGATTTCGTAATGAAAGGAGACGTCAGTTTCGCTTTATTCATGAGACAGAGGCCTGTGATTTCATGCCTCCCTCTGCTTTCTCCCCCTTTGTACTTTACTTCTTTCAGAGAACTCTATTCAAAAGCCAGGCTGAGCATTCAGACGTGGGTGCCATCTACACACAGCTCGGAAGGGCCATCATCTCGCCAGCTTCCTGGGCAGGGAGGCTGAATGATCATGTCATGTTCTTAAATAACATAGCAGCAGTTACTTTTTTCAGACAGCTAGGGTGCCAAAGAGTTATTTATTTTCTTGTTTGCTTGTTTAGCTTTTCTTGAAATTTGAGTCTTTGTTAATGACTTAGCTCAAACATTTTCTCCAAACTCTGATCTGTTTCCTCAACCCTAAAAT